TCTCAGAGTTTTTAGCTTTTAGTCTGAGCTGTATGCAAAAAAAAACTATTCAATGGCAAGAAAACATCTTTTTAATGAGCTGCCCTTAGGGCCTGCATGCAAAAAGTAACACAAACTGAACAGTGTATTCTGATTCACCAACAAATGACTCGAATGAGCTGGTTCTTTTAATAAAATGAGTTGAATAAGTCAGAAAATATAATTCATTAAGTTAACTCACTTCTGTCAGAGCAATTATTGAACAAACATACTGAATTTCAGTGATGTCTGAAACAAAGTGAAGCAAGAACGGTTTTAAACCAACTTAGAATTGTTCAAAACACAATTGTTTTGTAATAAATTGTATTTCAATATATAATATTAAAAGATATTTAAGTATAAAAACTTTTTTCAAATAAATAATGCCATTAAAAATGGTACCGTTTAAATTTCATATAGATTTAAATCCATATATTGTGTATGGTGAAGGGTGACAAATATCTGGAAACACTGGTATACATATTCATATTAGATGTTTCCAGAGTTGACATTTCACCAAAAAACAAGAGAGAGAGAAACTAGTGAGAGAGAGAGAAACTGCCAAAACTAGACCATCATCAATCTTTTTCTCAAGTCACGGAATCCCGCATGAGATTCATAAACCCTCAGCCTTCCCTGAATGCAATCCTTTTTTTTTTCATTCTCCTATTTTTGGCCCAATTCTTATTATTGAGTTATTGAACGTACAGTTTCCACCTCTACAACACCAGATCAGACAGACAGCACACCTCAGCAGAATGAACAAGCTGAGAATCTCTCACACCCAGAGGAACTCTGGGTACCGCCCACAGTGTGTCAAAAAGCACAGTCTCGCTAGTCTGGCCAGGGAGCTTGTACTAATATTATCACAGTCCATTAGACACGGTATGCATCATTAGTAAATCAACAGCTTTGCTGCCATCCATTTGCACACAATACGGTTATGACATACCTACAGTGGCTCAATAAAGTCGCTCTTAAAAAGACTATAAATGTCATTGTTACAGAAAATCAGTTGCATTGGCCAATGATGCTCTACCTTTTCTAACTCATTTTATAATTGTACAAACAGATAAATAAATTGTCTTTCTAATATTTCATAAAAACTTGCTGAGCCTGAAATTATTATTTTTAATCATTTTTTTGCTGATGTCACTAAGCACTCTTATTTTTCCATCTCCTTTCTCCATCCTTTTCTGCAGTAAATCAGTACAAATTAAATAAATATATCAATAATGTATTATTAAAAAACATCTCATCATTTCATTCAGATTCGAAATTAAGGCTACGTCCACATGAAGCCAGAGCTTTCTCTATCCGATCTTTTTTCCCCCCTCGTCTCAAGAAATATCTGCGTTCACACGACACCACGAAACCGACACAAAACGATGTAGTATACATGCCAGACCAGTATGTGGCGCTGTAATTCTGCTACAGAGATACACTAAAAATGTAGAAGACCTGGACAATGCGCATAAACCTTGCGTGCAGT